TTAAAATTCCAGCTTCCCAGACTCCGTGGTTCACGAGTTAATAATTTACCCCTCAAAAATTTTCACAGGGCCGTACTTGTTACCTGCAGGCAGGGGAAAGCTGAATTTGAATAGGCAAAGTTGAGCGTGGGCAAGGGGTCATTACCCTAAAATTTCAGCTTCCTAGACCCCGTGGTTCTCGAGATAATAATTTACCCGCCAAAAATTTTCACGAGGCCGTACATGTTACCAGCGGGCACGGGAAAGCTGAATTAAAATTTTCTGGATAATACATGGGCGGGGGATATGCTCACAAAATTTGAGCCTTCTACCTTCCGTGGTTCCCGAGATACTGATTTTACCCCAAAACTTTTACGGGGCCGTACATGTTACCCGCGGCTACGGGGAGGCTGAATTTAAATTTGCTGTGTCACCCGCCGGCGGGGAACACTATACCAAAATTTCAGCCGCCTAGCTTTTGTGGTTCACGAGTTGAAAGTGCGGTACAAAATGTGGGGGACACACACACACACATACAGATAATCCCGTGACAATATGCGTTTTGTACTGCTGCTACACAGCACAAAACGCATAAAAATGACAATGTGATGAGAAACGCAACAGTAATTTGGACGCTCCTAAAGTGGCCAAATGTAAAACGAAAACCTTTGTACTACTATTCACTGCATATTGTACATGTGCTGCTCCAAATTTCGCGAAATACTTCTCGATATCATCGATAGAAATTTCTGCGCCAGCAAATGAGACCAGCAATTTGTTTGTGGTTAAATACTTAACAACTGGATTCACTGAAACCTAAATAATGCACAGTTAAGGGTCGCACAGATTAACCAAAAAAATTAACCGCTGAGACTTATCATCCGACCGTCATGCTGACGAGATCCTGTAGCAGTGTTGAGTTAAAACGTATATGACTCAATGAACCGAAACATCTTATCTCATTCTTGCCTCCTTTACCCATTCTTTCCTGCTTTTTGTATCCAGTATGCCTTTGAACTGGGGCATTCAAGGTCAACCTGGATGCTACAACCGGCACAACTTCCGGCTGTGCTTTCCGAAGCACAAACATTCATGTAAGGTCCCATGGAAGTTCTTGGCGGGAAAATGGCTAATTCGAGAGTCGAAAAAGCAGGGAGGCTGAAATTTTCAGGAATGTTCCCTGTCCAAGTACAGCATAGACAATTAACTTTCTGAAATTCGAGGATCAGTATGTCACACATTTCTAGCTACTGGGTTTCCGAAAACTGTATTGTAGAGAATACCGCAACGTTTCTTACAAAACTCGGTACATTCCACCTCCATTCTGGCTTTAAACATACAATTCAGTGCAGGAACCTCTGATGCGTGATTAGACAAGACCAAAACAAGAATATTAAAGATAGCAAGAAAATACATGAGAAGAAAAGCACTGTTATTAACAAACACACCGCTCAAAAAATAAGAAGTACAGAAAGCTATCATTTTAGCGCCTAAAAGCGCAAATAACTGCAAAAATGAGGAAAAGGGCAAAGTGAGGAAAAGGAGGAACACTGGCAGGAATACCCAGCTAGCTGGCACGGGGCAAACCCCCCCT